GATAGTGCTCTAAGCCAGCCTTCAAATCCTATTGTGATGACACACTTGGGGGACAAGCGTGTATGCGTGGGGCATGTGCGCGGAGCAAGGATCTCAATGGTATTAAACCCAAATATAATGTAGTAGTTTCCATTTTCTTTTCATTGTCCCTATATAACCCCAACATATCTGATTTCCCTGACTTCCCTGAGGCCGGACACTTCAGATACATACCCCAAGCACGTGGCCCAAAACCTTGACACCGGCTGCGGAGCTTTGTTTTGTTCGCGGGTCTCTTTCGTGCCAATAGTTTCGAGCCGATTCTGTGGGTTGTGATCGATGGCCGCAGCTTGTGCCTCCCCTACGATAATGGTTTCCCAGACCCCGGGGAGGATCTAGAAAGTAGAACCCCCAATATGGTACCTTATACTATTATTGGGCAATTTCTAGGAACCCTCAAGGGGGATGTACTTTCTAGATCAGAACCCTAAACCCTGGCTTGTCAGCAACATCGCATGCTCTGGTGGGAGGAGGATTCGGAAGCAGCCCGACAGTCCCGCGAGGCGTGGCAAGGATTCAGTGGCCAGCTGTCAATCCTTAACTGGGGGTCAGGAGGGAATGCGGGAATATATTATACAGGGGCCATATAGGGACTATATTGCCTTATTCCCCACCAGCAACCAGTAAGAGTCTTTTTTCAACCATTTTGTTTTCTGCAGGCGCTGGCTACGTTCCTTGCTTCTGCAGCACTGGCAGGAGCGTCAGGTTCGGCAGCACTCTGTGAGGCACCAACCGAAGTGCGTCTGTTTTGGGGTTTAAGGGTGTTTGGTTCTGACATGAGGGTTTTCTACTATTAAGGGGTACCCTTTTGGGGGTTCCTACCATGAGGACTCCAGTACTCTTGGGTCTATATTGGGTTCCCCCTATTTAGGGAAAGTACCACATGCTCTGACCCTAGGGAATGGCAAAGAACATGGACATCACTATCATGGAGAATCAAATGGAAAAGAAAAACGGGACTTGAAACAGAAGCTGCTATATATGGGGTTATATAGGGATTCTATAAGGTTACGACCCCAATCACGGAGAAACAAATGGAAAAACACATGAGAACCTGGCACATAGAACGGAAGGCAGGGTGCTCCCTCTATCTTCCCTCGGCCCTTTTTTCACTTACAAGTTACAGGGCCGCGCCAGTGGCTGCGCAAGGGACACACAGACACAAACATATCAGAATCCAGGGTCATACTTCTTCCTTTCACACTGCCGTTATCTTGTTATCATTGCCTTTTTCTTTCCTTCTGTGTTGCTGGAGGCCCTGAATCTTTAGCCAGCATAATTCCTTGCTTGAACATTCAAGCGGAAAATGACAATTCTGCCATCTACAACCATCAACAAACATCAAGACTGTGGATGACTGAAGCCCTAAAACCCTAAAACCCTCAACCCTAAATCCTAAAATCCTAAAGCCTAGACCCTAAACTGTCTCACAATGTTCGGGGTGTCTTGATTGTCAGATTCTGGAATCTGACCTTGACAGATCCTTCATAGTCTAGCAGCAAGTATAAGGCACTAATGAGAACTGCCATTGAGAAAACACTGCACAGCGCAAAAGCAAAGTCGCACGCAGTGTAGGTACGTCTGGAAAAGTTTGTTCCAGTTATCCGCACCTCTGCCTAGCCATGCACCCTGCTAAAATCTAAGGACTCTTTGGAACAGAGGGTCCGCACAGGCACACATAATTGTGCAGATCCCCCTCCAAGAGAAATTGCTTGTGAGAGGTTGGTGAAAGATAACATATCCACTCTTTTTCAGGAAAACGTGGAGGAAACGAGATGTCCTGAAGACGTTGATCCTGAGAGTGTCTACTGTAATGCTGCAATCATTCATCGGTTTCCGGACATGCAGACAACACATGCTTGCTGCGAAAGGATTTGGCCCAGCCTTTTTTCTGACGGGTCCTGCCTGCTTCTTGAGACTACGCCACCGAGCGTCCCCAGTGACATCCTCTCTCATCATGCAATAAGAATGAATAGTGAGTAGAAATGATAATGGAAATAGTAGCACAAAGTCTAAGAGAAACAAAAAGAGTAGCACCTCTCATATAATAAGAGCAGTCTGAATAATAGTACAGAAAGAGCATTGAAAGTAAGACAATAGTAAAGTAACAATACAAACTAGCTTTGTTGGCATGTCATGTCTGGAGCCGTTAGACCCACGTCTCACAGTTGCATACTGATACGCCTAAACAATGCTGTGCAACTCTACATGGCCGCTGTCCCGTTTATAAACAAACTTACTGAGGGTTAGTAGGGAATTAGGGAATATATCATAATCCCCATATGGGATTATATGTGGATTATATTCCTTCATTCCCTACTAACAACCAGTAAGCGAAGCTACAGCACCAAACCATGTTCAGGCACTACAGATTGCAGAGCTGCCCGAGGAGGCCAGCACCATACACTTCGCGTGCCCGTGGCCGTTGATGCAGTTGACGCCCAGGACTCCCCTGACTACACAGCCCCATGGCCTACTCCAAAGGAGGCGGAGACTTGCTTGTGCTTCCCTTGACGCTACTGAGCTACAGTCTAAACTCCTTACAGGGGGTTGTATAGGGGACGACTTTGGGGGATGCTAAGGAGATACTCGCAGTTCAGACTGCAGCAGTTCAGACCATGGCTGTAATGGCTGTAATGACTCCTTTTGCGGGATGAAAGGTTGCAAGCCAGCTCGAGCTAGAGCGTCAACTCCTAGAAGCAGAAGAGGCTGGGTGGGTTTTGCGAGCTTCGACGGAAGATATTCTAGTATAGGATACTATAGTATAGTATAATATAATAAAATATAGAGTAATATAGTATAGTATAATGTAGCATAATGTAGTATATTATTGTCTACTTTAGACTGCAACCAAGACGCTGAGGCTCAGAAGCTCGTGCCCCCGCAGGATGAGGCGCGGAATATTGACGCTGCTAACCATTTAGGATTCTCAACCACCCAAAAAGTATCCTTAATTTTGGAAGCCCTGAACTCTATATCCCTATATAACCTCATAGAACCCCTGTATCCCCCTTTAGGGTACCCTAATTTTGGGAAGCCCTATTTTCCCGTCCCATGCCAGGATGAACCTATAGAACCTCCAAGCAAAAGAGCACGGACGGAGGGATCCGAGGCCATGGGACCATGATTGGGTTTAGGGGTTTAGGGGTTTAGGGTTTAGGGTTTAGGGGATTGTTGGCTTAGGGTTCAGGGTACGAAATCGGATTTCCTGAAGACAGGGGTAGGTAGCATAAAGAGAGGGTTTGGACCA